TGGGGAGTTTAGTCATCTCTCGTGCTAAACGTATTATCTTTATCAAGCTTATTAATTGAATAATGAAATCTCTAAAAACGTAATTTTTCGAATTGCATCTTATTAAAAGTGCGATATATATGTATGTACATACGTCGTATATAAATAGATTAGGTTCTAGTTATATACTAGCTTTCTTAAGATGCCCGCAATTTTGAACACCACATCGTAAGTTTTTACCCAATATGGTTTCGGTTTTGAAATCAGTAGTCATTTGTTTATATTTCAAGTGGCCACCAGTTGAAGTACCTAGTAGTATCCAAACTATAAACACAAATAAGAGGCACACATAGACCCAAAACTGAAAATATGTACATACTCTGCTAAACTTAATTAACAAAACATATAAGTACATACATATGTAGATATGTATATGCACACACTTCATACATATGAATGTATGGACGTTTGTACATACGTATGGACATGCATGGAAAATGTAGTTTGCCAAACTGTTAATGAAAACTTTCACTGCGTTCAGCGCTTTTACGCCTAAACGGTGGTGCAACATCCGAACGAACTTTTTCTTTAATTAATTCATTTGTTTATAACGAAAAACAAATACAGGTAGGCTATGTCGAGCGGCAGATGGTATTTCATTGGTATTCGCACTATAAACCAACGTCATCACTCACCCGTGAAATTTCTTTGATTTATGAATGCAGATGCGCCAGCAATTGATGCAGATGGTTTTACGACAGGTATATGGTGAACATTGGCGAGACGAAGAGCTATAGTTGCAAATTGAATGCGCCGAGGTGTGATATTACGAATAAGTGAAAACATTTCTCTTAAATAATGCAAACTATATTATGTATATATTTTATGATTTTTTTTTTTTTATGTAAGCAGCTATTTTAGCACTACACTTTTCAATGATTACTCAATCAGGCGGATAAACATNTGCATGGAAAATGTAGTTTGCCAAACTGTTAATGAAAACTTTCACTGCGTTCAGCGCTTTTACGCCTAAACGGTGGTGCAACATCCGAACGAACTTTTTCTTTAATTAATTCATTTGTTTATAACGAAAAACAAATACAGGTAGGCTATGTCGAGCGGCAGATGGTATTTCATTGGTATTCGCACTATAAACCAACGTCATCACTCACCCGTGAAATTTCTTTGATTTATGAATGCAGATGCGCCAGCAATTGATGCAGATGGTTTTACGACAGGTATATGGTGAACATTGGCGAGACGAAGAGCTATAGTCGCAAATTGAATGCGCCGAGGTGTGATATTACGAATAAGTGAAAACATTTCTCTTAAATAATGCAAACTATATTATGTATATATTTTATGCTTTTTTTTTATGTAAGCAGCTATTTTAGCACTACACTTTTCAATGATTACTCAATCAGGCGGATAAACATGAAATGCAGTCCGAAATTGAAAAAATGCCTTTTTAGGAAAATTGCGCAGCTTTTTAAGAAAGACTCGCTAATTTACTCATCCAATAATGAAACGTCAACTCAAAGCAATACCTAGATGAAGTACATTTGTATATGTTAATAATAATTAATGCAAAACTATTGTGGTGTTGGTCGCTTATTCACACGGTCGTTCGCAACGATCTGTCCTTGGGCCATGGTCACAAAACTATGTTGTAGCGATATTTGCCATTTATTAAGTTGTATTCACTCACCTGTTTAGGTTTTTTATTGTCTACTTCTACTACATACGGCTAATTCTGCGCTACTGCTCTTATTTTTAATTTGATATATTCATACGTTCTAAATTTGGACACGATTCTCCCATGGCAACCTACCAGGTGTTATTTCCTCGCCACTCGTTACAAAACTGACAGCCACGAGTAGTCAATTGACCAAGCAAAGTGGGAAAATGGCAAAACTAGTGAAACGTCATACACGGGCGCAGTGATTGCCCGAAAAGCTTGTGGGCCTTGTATAGGAGGAGGTGGCTCCGGTGGATGTGTTGGTATTGGTGAGGAGCGGTTGTAGACGCTTTTGCCGGAAAATGTAAACATGGGAAAATCAAAAAGCTCATTCACATAATAAATTGAAGTCAGCTGTTCAAGAGATGTGTTGCTTTTGTGAATGATCCACAAACTGAGGACGTAAAGAGTGTGTCAGACGTGGCAGTGCAATATATTTCGAAAAGGTTGATGCACTAAGAAATTTCAGAAAGCATATGCATGAGCAGTCACACGTTGCAAATGAAGTATCTTTCGAAAGGGGTTTTTTTCCGAAGGGCTAATGGCACATTGCTAGTGCAGCCCGAGCAAGTTGAAATATATTTCTGAAATCGATTGCAGTCTAATCTTGCAACTCTTTATTTCTGGAACTGGGCTCGAATCGTCACATACGATATCCTACTGCTCGTCACGTAAAAGCACATCTTTCGAATTATGACATGCGTGAACGCAATCTTTGTGCCATTCAGCTTATACTGCCTGACGTATAACGTAATTTTCTTTCATACCGTTATCGATTCGTGAACGGATGTTACGATTCGAGCCTTGATTTCGAAAATGTGACAGAACGGTCTCTCTGACTGTTCACACATCGAAATAAAATTGCTCTTTCCCAATTTGACAGCGGATAGCGTGGCGAAGTCGGAAATATTGCCACGTCTGACATACTCTTATCTATATAGATATCTACGTTCTTTACCCCCGTCACCACCTTCTAATAAATGTGTCTTAACATCTGTCAAATTTCACTTTCAAAATGGCATCAAGCCAATCAGATCGACCTGCGCCCAAAGTAAATGGGGCGGTAAAATGAAAATTTAGTTATCTTACTACGAAATCATGAACGAAAGACACAAGATCACGCGGGAAGGAAAGAACGAAAAAAGTTATTTTCTAGCTGCCGAAATCTCGACGCCATCTTTGTTGTAAGAAGTAAACAACGAAGAGAACGGAGAAAACCGCGAAATTGTTGAACGCATGAATACTCATTTTTATTATGCAAATTTTTCTATAAATCATGCCGTTGTGTTAAATTATTCTTTACCTTATGTGTACACACGTTGTCACAGGCGAAAAAGAAGAAAATTGCAGTAAAAAGCCACGACCAAATTGTAAACAATGAAGAAATGTAAACAAACGGCTATTGTCAAAATCGTTAAACTTGTTTCCTAAATGCGATTCTAACGGGCTACTCTCCTGCCCGCGTGATCTTGTATTTTTGGTTCATGCTACGAAATGACACTTGATGGTAATACAGCGATGGTACGAAATTCGGCAANGTTGTCTGGTGGCGTCATGCGGCAAATGCTTATTTCAAGACATCAAAGTGCCCACACACAAAAACTTGCAATCACATTGCTCGTCAAAATGACAGTTGGTAGGCCATCGCTGTTCGCCTGTGGAGTTCTGCGGTAACACAGCTTTTTTAACAGAATCTAGACGTGGGGTTAGAAGATCGAATAACCATTTTCATGGTTATAGTAACTGTTGAGCCCAAATGGCACTTTGGGACCTATTCTTAAAAAATGTTAGCCTTACCCTGGTATTCAGTAATTCAGTCTCATCAAAAAACGTATCTACGTTCTTTGGTCTCATCTCAAGTAACTAAATTTGAGCAGAGTCAAGTAAGCGATATGTAAATGAGTTGATAATAGATCTTTCTTTGTAAACTGCCAAAAAAAAATAACTATTCATAAAAATTTTTAGATTAAAAAATAAAAGTCTGAGAATAAAATTGTCACTGAATCACACCCTGAATCACAAGTACTTGCTCCCAATACCTACTCAGTACTCGGTACAAAGGTATCGATACCAATATTACTTGGTATCGGACAAAAAGTGTCGAGCATGTCTTGTATTTACTGGGTATCGTTTTGTCCCTACCATCAGCGGCACCTCGTTTTGATAAGCGTTGATTAAAGTCTCTCAACTTGTTATTAATGGATCCTAATTTACGCAACGTAAGTTAAATCTTGTTTTATAAATATATGTATATGTACATTATTTTTTCATCCTAGTTAAAAGATTTTCTGACGTTGTATAACAAGGTCACAGAATTATGTTTCTCGAGATGTATTGAAACACTATACGAGCGGGATTTGACCAATAGCGAGGTATGTAAATAATTTCTAAATGCGCACACCTACACTATAAAATGCTCACATATCTTTCTGAATTTCCACAGAGTACTTGTATAGATCGGTGCGTAGTAAAATTTGCTCGGTTTAATCAGAAAATGATGAATGTTTACGTTGAGGTGCAATCAGACATAAATCAAAAACGTATGCAAGAAATTGAAGCCAATCAAAAACAACTGGAACAACCGCAAGCGTCGGCATCCATGGCATCTGCAGGAAACATATCGCATTTGCCAACAACAACGAATGGAACACGAGCGCCTGCATTCTCGTAAAAAAAAAACTTGATTTTAGTAATATTGCATTTTACATAAATTTACCACACTTTGGTGATATAAACACATTTAAACAATCACATGTCGACACGCATTTGCCTTTTACCTTTAATAGGCTTGCCCGCAAGTGGCAAAACTACTTTCAGTAATTGGCTATTGGATATATCACAAAAACCCATCAATATCATACATATTTGCTTTGATGACTACTTGACGCCACCTACAAACGAAAAATCGTCAAAATTTGAATTTAAACAACAGCGTAACAGCATATTATCCCGTATAAGGGAGCTTATATACGAATTAAAATATGCAGGCAATATCCCGACGCATTTAAGCGCAGTTGTGAAGTCATCTCTATGCACAGATCTTCATGACTTCGTAGTTCTATGCGATGATAATAATTATTATCGTAGTATGCGATATAAATTTTACCAATTGGCCAAGGAAAATGCATGTGCGTATGCACAAATTTATTTCGACTGTGAATTAAAATTAACGTTGGAGCGAAATAGTTTGCGCCCGGCAATGGACAGAGTGTCGGAGGAAACTATGCAACGCATGGCAAAACGACTAGAGACACCAGATCCGACAACCCATCATTGGGAGTTAAACACATACACTATGAGCGATTGCGAAAATTACAACGTAATAAGAACTCGCATTTTGGCCTTCCTTACAAAAACATTTGAAAACATGTTGCAACCAATGCCGGTACAAACCAAATTAGAAACGATACAGTCACTTGTGCACCAACTTGATTTACTACTTCGAAGACGTATTGGCGAAATTATCCAGACGGAACAACTTACAACAAAGCGACAAATAATAGCTAAAGCTTTAAATATAAAACGGAAAGAGTTACTACAAAACGTGAAGATCAAAGCCGAATTAAAGGAGATAAGTTTTAATGATTTGAATGAGTACGTGAATATGCTTTACTCTTAACTCTTAAAACAATCGAAATTAATATTAAAAAATAAAAAATAAATAAATAAGTATATGTACGTGCATAAATACATTCATATGTACATAAGTGCATAAACTTGCATATGAATAGTTTTATTTTATCTTCACTTTCGTAAAGCAATACAAATTTAATACCCTGCTATTATTTATAAATGATTCAAATAACTTACCTTTTTATGCAGGTAATTAAAAATTAAAAGAACAACTTTTAATATGTATTTTATTGAATTAAGACAAACTCTAGAGTTCCTTTAAATATTTTGCGTTTTGTTCGCAAATTTTACATTGGTATGTATTATATTGTATATATAAATTTATTGAATATTTAAGACTTTGTATATTTATAATGGATTTGGTACACGAATATGTTTGTGTAAATACATATAAATTATGCTCATGTATGTTCAATTGCCATTTTATCTAAAACACATCTTCATTTTTAACGTTTGAAGAACTTCGAAATGTCTACACACAAAAAAAATCCATATCCGCGAAACCAACGCTGCGTTTACATAAGACAATTTGAGACGAGACAATTGAGAATATGTATTAGTCGTCAAATTGTTGTGTAAAGTAGGCGTCCAGACCATTATGAAGACAATAGATACATTTTTTAGCAACCGCTGTTAGTGTCGTTTGGCGTGAATTTCATGCGTTTTTGTCTTGCCTCTTTTTCTCAAATTAACCAAGACGTGACCGAATTGTTCAATTTACTGTCTTCCGATCAAATCATAGACAGTGACGAAGACAATGAGAGAAGTGTGAATGTATTAGTGAAAAAATGTGAATTAATTGCTATTGTCTTGGCAAAATTGTCTCATGTAAACGCCGTCTACGGGTAAGAAATTGTAAAATTACGTTTTTAGTTTCTTCTCTGACGTCAGGGTTTTTCTTAAAAAAACTTTTAAGAACTTTACTTTAACTCAAAAAATTATTTAAAAAACTCAGTGTGATGTAGAAGAAGAATATGAAAGAAAAAAAGTGTAGAATTCGAAGTTTAAATTTTTGGTCGAATAAGGTACTGAAAGGCCTTATAAAATGGCATCCTTGATTATTCTAGAAAATTTGCAATATGTATTTTTGAAAAATTTTATGTTAAGGACTCAAATTTCGCACTTATAACTTTATTAGCTTAAAAAATAAAATTTTTTAATAGGGCATTTTCAATAACCATTCGTCCTTGTGAACCAAAAGACGTATGTATTTATTTTTAATTCCACAGAATTTTGTCTTCCATTTCGTACCCAAAATATTTATTCTACGTTGCACATACTTTTAAAAATCTGGCGATGAGAGAGAAAAAACAAAAACGCAATTTCACTATATCNACCCAAAATATTTATTCTACGTTGCACATACTTTTAAAAATCTGGCGATGAGAGAGAAAAACAAAAACGCAGTTTCACTATATCTGAACCTTAGTTTCGTGAGTATATTGATTGTTTCGNTCTCAAGCAACAACAATTTCGAACAATTTCATTTCTTTATTATCACATTTATATGATTTTAAAATGTTGGCAAACTTCAAAAAAAAATCATGGCCGACAAATTGAGAGAACGGTTATACCTTGCTATGTTTTTATCATGATCTGAACCTTAGTTTCGTGAGTATATTGATTGTTTCGTGTGTTTTGAAATAAATAACATAAAATCGGCGTCAGATTCCTGGTTGTGGTAATTTGTTGAGCTTATAATCGCTATTGACCAATCTATTATTGAATCATTGTCATTCGACGATATTTTGAGAGAACAGACAGTAAAAAATTTACATAGTATAATAATACATGTTTAATTTCATAAAGCATTTTGTAAAATAAATTTTGGAAGCCTGTGATGTTGAGCTGTTAAGACATTCGCTTCCTCAAATGGATAAATACAATTTCTTATTTTTAGAGTTGTTGAAGCTAAACATGAGATTCTTTTTAAAATATTTTGATTTATTTTAAATTTACTAAATTGTTTAAAAATTTGGTCTTTAATTGATAAAACCTAAGTAAATAAATACGTTTAAAGTCCAGATTTTTCAAATGGCAATGTTTCGTTCTCTGCTTTTCAGTTTGCAGTTATTGTTTTAGCAACCAGAAATACTTAAAATTAATATTGCATGCATATTTAGCAGTAAGGGTGAAGTCACAAATGTAAGAATACAAAGCAACAGTATTTTTTTTTTGTATTTCCAAACCGCACTAGAAGAAAAGTTGAAACCTAGTTGAAAACTAGCATCTAGCCGCGGTTGCGCACATTTGGCTAAGGTTTAGAAATAAAAGAGACTGATGTTTTGCATTTTTACATTTAGGACTTCAGCCTAAATATTAAAAAATAAAACGGGGAAAAATATCCAAATGGTACTGCATCTGTTATGCATTTATTATATGTACGCACTTTCATTTGATTTAATAATTGGAAGATCAATTTTGTGTGAGTGCATTAATTTTAGAAACTCGAGTAGAAATTGCAAAATTTTTTATTTATAAAACTGTAAAGTTTGAGAACAATTTGTTGAAATGCATATAATGCTTGTATCATAAGCTAAACGATTTCAAGATTAGTGGCTTCTAATAATCTGTGCAATTTTTTGAGTGAAAAATGTAGTTTTTGTTGTTGCTACTAAGCCCCGCTCGCGTCGGCTCATTCATCAACGTTGTCGTCTGTTTCAGCTAAGAGGAGGCCCAGGAAGTGCCAGACTTCAACGGGATCTGTCCATAGGGAGGGGTTAGCTGGGTAGGGTTCTGGGAGGCATGCGAAGAGTTGCCGTGAGTCAGGTGGCGACTATTCGTATGCCGGGCATAGGTTGGGCACATCCTCGTTTCTTCTGTTCAGGTATGAGTATGAATAGTGCAGTAGTATATACTGAATGCTATATGTAATTATAATTTAATATAGCTTGTCAGAGTATGTTGCTAAAAATAACCACTCGTACCTATGTATAATAAATGCATTTTAAATTCGATATTGTCGAATGATTTTTGAACGCAAACAGCAAGATATACAGCTTATACACATGAATTTCAATCTGATTTAAAAATATTGAGCACAAAAACGTATAAAAAAAAAGACTAATAAGAAAGCACGAATAATATACTATATATGCATATGGGACATTCATATGTACCATTACAAATATGTCGGCAACGCACCATTCAACTTTTGCTTAAATAAAAAACTCACGCAGCCCATCTAGATTTTTGCAAATCAATTTGCCCTTCCAGAGTTTTAGCTAAATATATAATGAATAGTTGTATTAATGCAACGCCCAGTGCAATGCCAGCTATGGTGTACAGATTACGTTCTGCCCAAACACGCACAATTTCAATGCACCCGCTTGCCCAAATACGTTTGCTGGCCGCTGCTACCGAATGCTCTTGAACTCCGTAACCACACATAATGTTGACCAATCCCGAACTTATATCAGTTGCGTTGATACAACAACTGTACGGGACGCCGCAGCGTTCCACCGATGGTGACGAGCAGTTGAAATATTCATTCTTGCCTGCAAATATTATTATTGTTAATTTTAATCATCCATTGTTTTTCATCTATTGTATCTATAGTACAAAAACCGAACTTACTCCAGTCTTGATATCCAGAATTGCTCAGTCCACAACATTTAAACTCGAGTTGGGCAAAATCGATAAGATTTTGCAAATCTGGGTCATCTCGATACGAATGTATAATTTTATCAGTAAATTTATCTTCGAGGAAGGAATTCATATTATGTGGAAACACAAATCCCATAATGGCAATAGCCAATTCTAGTAGAAAGAACATTAGTAAACACATAGTGTAAAATTTAAGCAGGCAAGTATTTTCACGTAGTGCACCCAAGCAACCAGCAAAGCTGACCATAGATATAAGTACTCCGGTAAGCATCATTACCAATGAGATATTGAGTATTACATCGTAGAAAGTTTCTAGGCGCACCCATCCCGTGGATTCCCACTTGTCCATAAAAGCATAAAGGCCAATTCCAAGCAGCAGGCCACCCGATAGCCAAAAAATGAAATTTAGCATAAATATCAGATATTTAACACACGAGCTAACATAAGTAAAGTTCTGTGATATTCTTGGATGCATGTTGCGTATTTCTATACCACTATAACCGCCGCCGCCTCCATGGTGACGGTAATTATTCATATCTGGAATCTGCAGATTTCCGCGGTCAAAGAATCAAGGCGACCTAGAACTATTTTGGGCGTATATTGTCCTCGATGGGGAAAAGGTCTACTATAGACTAAAGATAAGTTAGTCGATAAAAAAATAGAGACAAATCTTTCTCTAAAAAAACATTTTCTTCAAAGCAGGAGGTGATATATATTTCCTTTGAGCGCCTTTTAATATTTTTCTTCTTATCGTTATTTCCTGTTTTTGTTCTGAATACACTGTTTCCTCAATAATGGAATATTTGATGACTTTGGTACGCGTGTTACATTTTATATATTTAACATATTTTTCTCTTATTTGTTAAATTTTTTATTCACAAATAATCTCAAAACAATTCCTTTTATCCAAATATGCTTTGTTATCTTCTAGTGGTGGCAAACTATCGATGTTTTTTTTTTCAAAACTATCGAGTATTTTCACTATCGAAATTAACTTTACGTTCTCTGATAAAACCACGTAAGAGCAAAGCCCTTTAATTTGACATCTCATGAAAATCGGACCAACGATACAGATTTGATGACATGAACAATCGTGGCGTTAAATATTTAATGCGTCAAATCTGCGAACTCAATTAAGAAGTTTTATATCAATAAAAGAAGAGAAGACGTAAATCATTTCCGTCTTGAAATAAATGTCCCGAGCGACGAAAAAATATGATAATCCCATATAATTATTATGAGAAAACCTTAATCATTTTCGTCTTGAAATAAAAGTCCCGCAAAACGAAAAATATAAAAGTCCCATATAATTATTATGAGAAGGCGAAAATAATTTACATCTTAAAGTAATATTCCCGCGAATCGAAAACCACTTTTCCATTGTTCAGTAATAATTATAGAGAGGGATATTTAATTTTATTTATGGTCTCTGTTTTTCAGCACAAAAACCATTCAAAACACACTACAAATTAAATTAATTGGGAGATTAAATGGAAAACTGTATTAACTTTGGAAAAAGAGAGAATACGAACACTGCAAAAATTTAAAAGAAAAATATGAATGTCGGCAAAGGTATTTGAGGCAAGTATAACGGTTTAATTTATTTTTTGGGAAAATGAGAGCTACAGGAGTTACTAAAGGTCAAAGGTCTAACCCCAAATTTTTTTTAATCCAAACATTTCGATATAAATTCCTATTGTTTCATAATATATAAATTTTATAAATATCTTGTAGTTTTAGCAAAAATGGTATATTTAAACCAATTCAAACAACTTTTTAAACTTATTTAATTTGTTATATTTAAAAATTCTACGTAGATTATGAATCAATCTTTTATTTTATAGACAAATCATCGCTACACAAAATCCATCAAAAATATCACCCTGATCCTTTCTGCGTAAGGGGCTTTCGTCCACGCTCCAAAAAACAATTGTGATCGGTCCGACTCCGTTCACAGTATTTTTTGGTGGTTTTGCATGCGTTTGGTATTTGTTTTTGTTTTAATTTATTGCAAAAACCATGATAAAAATATAGTAAGGTAGAACCGCTGAGAGTCACTTTTGAAATTCTTGACGTTTCCAAACAATTTAATTTTTAAATTTACTCACAGACTCACACACACATTTTCTTTTTCAATCTCAAGCAAAAACAATTTCGAACAATTTTAATTTTTTATTTTCACTTTTATATGATTTTAAAATGTTGGCAAACTTCAAAAAAAAATCATGGCCGACAAATTGAGAGAACGGTTCTACCTTACTATATTTTTATCATGGCAAAAACTACAAAATATTTGTAGTTATATACTTATGTATGTATATAACATTTTTGTGGTATCGTGGACTAAACTTTATCTGGTTTATATGTATATAGAAATTAGCCAATGAACTTTGGAATGGGTGTGCAATACACAGTTCCCAGCTGATTCACAACGCTGCAGCACATCCCAGTAACAAAAAGTATGGATAGCAATGGAAAGGGTATTCGAGCTGGAAAGGACTTTTAACCCATAATTGCCGTTGACGGAATATCAAAGAGCAAATAATTATTTTCAGCATATATCATGAAAACGTAAGAAATTCGTAAATCGCAAACGTTCATATACATCAGTAGTGTTATAACTAAAAAAGCAAACCTCGATATAAACGGCTTTAAAGTGTAAATCCGTATCGTTACCTTAATTTACAAAGGCACTAATCTGCAAACTTTTTACTTTACAGAAGAAACTAAAAACATTATAAAAAGAAAATTAAAAGCTGCATATAGGCCTTATAAAGTGGAATAACACCATTGTTTTTGGCACAAAGACTGAAGTTTTTAAGCTATAATTTTATATATCTTACCAGAATCTGTGAAAAAACCAGTTTCGAAAAAGTGTTGGCTAGGGCCTTTGTGAATTGAGGTAACGATAAAAATATTAAAAATTAGTAAACACTTTGTCCTTGTGAGATACCATGGTGGAATTATATGTGAGTTACCATGGTGGAATTATGCCAGGTGATAACGCGAGAAAGCTGTTTTATTACTTCACGTGTTTATTGCGCCAATGCCATATACAGGCTGCGAAATTGTCAGATACAGACAATCGCTGTTTTATTAGTTGACCTGTTTATTGCGCCAATATCAGATACGGGCAATCACACAAATAAATTTTTGTATTATTTGGATTAAGCTGTCTTTACATGAGGCAATTTTTTGACAGGCGATAATCGTCTGCAAAAGTTGCCCTGTTGTCTACTTTGAGGCAAGCGAATTTTGAATGACAATTTACACGAGCGCTTTTCTTAAGCCATGTTGAATCGCCTCATGTAATTATGGAGCTATTGAAGTACATGAGAGATATGTACACCATTAAAGTACTTACATAAATTGCTACTGGGAAAGAGTACCAAATTTTGAAAGCTCTTTAGGTCGGTGTTATGCAGACAAACTTTTGTTTGCCAAATTAAATGGCGGCTGCTTAGTTTGCTCGGAGGTGGTTATGTCGAGTTTGGCACAGGGTTGCACGTTCATTATGGTTTTCATGGCTATTGCCAACACGAAATAAGAATTTCAGATGTACATAACGCGCACAATTTAAAACTTTTGTATATGACAACACCGAATTTGCTGCAGTTTTTCCAAGACGAATTAATATAAGGTGATAGCAGGAGTACAAAAACAAAAATTTACATGTATTTTGTTTTTGCTTTGGCGGCATAAACTGTCAAAATCTGTAAGAGTGTGTGTAGAAATTCAAACAAAATTTTTCAATTTGATATCATTAGCCGTGCGGCGAAACACATACACAAAATCAGCTGAGCTAGTAACAAGTTTTTCCAAACAAAATTAGTTTCAAGGCGAATTAATACAAGGTGATAGCAGANATTTACATGTATTTTGTTTTTGCTTTGGCGGCATAAACTGTCAAAATCTGTAAGAGTGTGTGTAGAAATTCAAACAAAATTTTTCAGTTTGATATCAGAAGCCGTGCGGCGAAACACATACACAAAATCAGCTGTTTTGCTGTGAGAGTCGCCAAACTCGCACTCTCCGAGTTTGCTGCAACAACAATTGCACGCAGTTTGCCAAACAAAATTTCTGCATAACACCAACCTTAAAGAGAAAAGAGATTTTGCACCCTGTTCTCAACAACTGATAACGCACAACCCAACTGATAGCCAGGGCAATTTCCAAAAATTTTAAATAAATTGAAACTACTTATAAAAAAAAATTGAGTCGAGGGTTCGTATACGAGCCAGGCAAAGTCGACACAATAGCGGTGGCCCGATTAGTTTCCACACGGATCTCAAACCATTAACAAACAGTAGTTTTACGCTTGAGCCGTTTATATACGAAATGAATTTTCTGATACGCTTCATAATCTTTCTGCTTGACCCATCGGGCTTGGTACGCCGTCTATTGGTACGTCCTGCAGTTCAAATAGGATACAATATATATGATGACATAAAGAGCAGAGCTGATGAAAAAGTTGGCTCCTTGAAAGAGTTAGTACTTCGCGTCGGATTAGTTGCATTCGCTGTAGTGTTGATAATTTGGATAGCAGTGTTCATGTATGTCGCCTTCTACTATACATATATGCCTGCCATTTCGCATACACGACCGGTCCATATGCAATTCAAGTGAGTATTATAAAATTCGCAAGATCTAATTGAAAATAAATGTCCTTCACTATCAGGTCATGTTTGGATTCCGCAACACCTTGCACATTTCCTCACGCTCATGTCTCGCTCACAAAGAAACAACAATTGCTAATGGTAGGTCAGGCATATCGCGTAGTTGTCCAAATCGAAATGCCAGAGACACCACAGAATTTGGAATTTGGTATGTTCATGGTTTGTGGAGAAATGCGTGATAACAATGCTTTACTACGAGGGCAGTCTTGTCGTTCCGCTATGATGCGCTACCGTTCGCCTCTGATACGTGCAATAACTACCTGGGTATTGAGCCCACTCTTTGTGCTTGGATTGAAGGAAGAATTCCAGCGCGTACCAGTGGAAATATTCGCAAACTATTTAGAAGAGCGGCAACATCCAATTACCGACGTATTCGTAGAAATTCAGTCGCAAAAAATACAATTTTATACAGTATCCTTGCACATAGTCGCTGACTTTACAGGGCTACGGTACATTATGTACAATTGGCCAATACTTTCTGCTGTTGTTGGTAAGATTAATTTTGTACTAAAAAAGCAAGCTTTTATTTACACCACTTTTATCAAATCTTTAATAGCAATCAGCACCAATCTGTTCTTTATTTTGGTGATATTCCTACTAAGTTGGTATCATTGGTCCGACACCACATGGTTACACAATTTGCGTAAAAAGTATGGACGCATTACCGAAACTTTACAGAGTAAAACTAGTAAGGCAATTGCGTCGAAAAGTGGCTTCCGAGATGATGAAGACTTGAGTTTTCTGGATGACAAATCGAATGGCTCAGAGATAGAGGAAATGGGAGGCAGCAGCGATAGCCGAAGAAGCAGCAAAGAGGAATTGATCGGTAGTAAGCCAAGGAAAGACAATGAGGAACAACAGTTGCTTCTACGAAGAGTACAATAATCTTTTTAACGATTTGTACTTGTACTATAGATTGGGTATAATAACTATATATAACAATTAGCCTATCGTTTTTGAATATTGTTTTACTATTGTTTTAGATAGTTTTAAACAATGGTCGAATAAAAAGTATGTATACATCCATTCGTAAATAAGCACAACACGAAGCTATTGCTTATAAAATCCTACAACATACATATGTACATTTACACTTGCTCATTATACATTAAAGTGAAATAACACTCGTATTACGAAAAACAATAAAAGGTGTGTTAATTGATAAGCTAAGTTGACCTGACTGACTATCCATAAAAAACCATAATATGCATATTATGCACAACATACATACATGCCCTATCTCAGAAAACTTTTTAAGGGCGGCTNCACTCGTATTACGAAAAACAATAAAAGGTGTGTTAATTGATAAGCTAAGTTGACCTGACTATCCATAAAAAACCATAATATGCATATTATCCACAACATACATACATGCCCTATCTCAGAAAACTTTTTAAGGGCGGCCTATTTCAGAATTCGGTTCAAAAACGCCCTATCTCAACATATTTTCAATCTATCGCACACGATCTTCAAAACTGACACAATTCAAAATTTGGCATTTTTGAAATTATGCGCCAAAAACCTAAATAGAGCTTTCATTTACTTACCTACATACCTTTCAACTAAAGCTAGAGCATTTGTTTTGTTGTAATTTGTAGCAAAAACCTAAGGTAAAGTCTCCCTTGCTAATATGATTAGCGTATGTTAAGAAATAGTTTTGCGCATTTTCTGGCAAGCGTGTATTTTAGACTTGTGTTACCTTTGAAGATCGTGTGCGATATTTTCAGTTGAGATAGGGAGTTTTCTGATATAGAGCGTTCTTGTAAAGTTCTCTGGGATAGGGCTTTTTCAGTAAAATTCAGTTGAGATGGGGCATTTTCGAACCAAATTCTGAAATATGGCGTTCTTGAAAAGTTTTCTGAGAGGGAGTTTTCGAAACTGCTGGCGAGAGAGGTCGATCTTTCACTCAGCCGTCGATATACAGAAAAAGGTTATTCATAAACAGCAATGTACCCAAGAAGCAAAAACAAATTCATATGGGGCTTCGTTTCCACAACTTTTGCAATAATAGTTTTAGACGACACATATCCTCTCTGTATCGCCTCTAGAAATTCTTGCCAACCGGTGCTGAAACGGAGCTTCTACCGACGAACAAGAGTCTGCATTTACAAATTTATTAATTCTCATAGCAATTCGAACGGTTTATTGGTTCCTAAAATGGTGATTAGTACTGATAGTGAAAAAATGCCGAAGTACAATTTTTGCCATTTGTCCATCACATGCATAATTTGCTGCAGATAAGACCAATTGCTGTTTTATTTTTGGTTGAAGCTACGAAATTAAGATAAGAATGTTTCGACAAATGAATTATTACTCAGGATGAAAATCATGTTGGTACAAATATTTGCTTTATTAAATGCATTTCTTCCTTTCTACAACTTTACAATGGCACGGATGCTTTTGCCTGCATGCATCAAATCAAATGCCTCGTTAATCTTTTCCATGCCCATAGTGTGCGTAATAAATTCATCGACCATTAATTCGTTTCTCAGGTATTCTTCCACCAGCTTGGGCACATCCGAGACGCTCTTCCATCCGCCAAAAGCAGTGCCTTTCCATGTGCGACCAACAACAAGCTGGAAGGGGCGTGTACTTATCTCTTGACCAGCTGCAGCAACCCCAATAATAACTGATGTGCCCCAACCTTTGTGTGTCGCTTCAAGTGCAGCTCGCATGGTGTTAACATTGCCAATGCATTCAAAGGTATAATCGAAGCCACCATCCAAGAGGTCAATGATATAATTCTGAATGGGTCCCTTATCGGCCACTTCCTTGGGATTGATGAAGTCGGTGATACCGAATTTTTTTCCAATTTCAAATTTATCCGGATTTATATCGATACCGTAGATTTTTGAGGCGCCAGCTTTTCGACAACCCATGGCGGTGGCTAGACCAACAGCACCTAAGCCCCAAATTCCGCAAGTACTGCCGGGCTCTACTTTAGCAGTATTAATTGCGGCGCCATAGCCTGTAGGAATACCACAGCCTAAAAGTCCAACCTTTTCAAGTGGAGCTTTCTCGTCAATCTAAAAAATGGTTCTTATTAATTGATTGTACATATATTAATAAAATACATCAAAGATTTATTTAGCGCACCTTGCAAAGGGAGATATCAGCAACCACTGTGTATTGTGCAAAGGTCGATGTGCCCATAAAATGGAATACCTTCTGACCCTTACATGTGAAACGCGATGTGCCATCTGGCATAACACCTTGGCCTTGCGTTGTACGAACTTTTTGACAGAGATTTGTTTTATTGCTCCTGCAGAATTTGCATTCTTTGCACTGCGGAATGTACAGCGGTATGACATGGTCACCGGGCTTAAATGCGTTAACACCATCTCCAACACTTTCAACAATACCAGCTCCTTCATGGCCAAGTATTACAGGGAACACTAGAGTTCAAGATATTGGTTATGTATGGAATTGTATAAAAGATGCATTTCCATGATATGTTCGGTAGGTATACATATATACTAACCTCCTTCTGGGTCAAATCCACCCAGAGTATATGCGTCGGTATGGCAAACGCCGGATGCTACGATTTGAATACGCACTTCGTGCGCTTTCGGCGGAGCCACCTCTACATCTTCGATTACTAGCGGCTTTTTCGCCTCCCATGCAATGGCTGCCTTGCAAGTGATAACCTTGAAATTGACGATATCATTTTTGTTAGATACCGACACACATACACATAAGTATACATATATGTATAAATATGTAATTATAAAATTATACCCGCCACCACAACTAATTATGTACACCAATAATAAAGTATATAATCATACAGATACTTATTGAGGAGTATTTGGAACATTTAATATCCTTACTTTGCCTGCTGTTGAATACATCTTCCAGAATAACTTTATGCTACTTATTAATATTCACAATAAACCAAGTTCAGTGAATAGAAAAAAAGCTTTTTCACGATGTATCGATCGCAACTGCTCCAACTGGTGGTCGAAAACGAATTGAGATTGTGCGATAAAGAAAGTGAATGCCTGCCGGTATTTGGCCGCCTTACTTTGTGTTGTGTTAACCCTTCGTGTGTCCTGCGGGGTCTATTTAACATCAGTGATTCTGTAACGAGGTAGCGACACAATTTTGCGACGTGTGTTAAAGATGTCGACAAGCTGCAATAATTAAAATTTTCATTCCGGCCGAAGGACCCCTGCGCAGAAAGGTGTTCAGCCCCTCTTTTTCGGCAACACAGAAAGAAGAATTCTACTTAGTGAGGGTTATAATCCTTTTTCAAAAAATCCGATTTTCCCTATTTTCAAACACTTTCCAAGTGGTGTGTGGGGGGTGAGGCGGGGAAAGGGGCGACTTTTCATAAAGCGCGGTCCATTCTCTTTCGCTGAAATTTACTCGGAAGTGAATTCCAGAACCTGACCGAATATTAAAATACCAATTTTTCGCAGATATATGTAATGGAAAAAATCTAAAATATTCAGAATAAAGAAATGAGCCCGTTAAAATAAAAATAAGAACGCAATCATTCAAGCTCTGTACTTCACTTCCGAGTGAATTTCAACCTTTGGCTGTGGCTGTAGTTGAAATTCACCCAGAAGTGAATTGAAAACCTGACATGTTACATATTCACATATGCATTTTATTGGTATTATTCGATGACACTCTTATATGTAATTACATTTATCATATTGAATCCAATGTATGGGTTAATTTTAGGAGTGCTGTGCCTGCAACCATTTGCTAAGAACATGCTGAAAGCCTTGACGATAGAAATTCATTTACACAAGTTTAAAAAATCGCGTAAACATCTTTTTTTAGCAAGAAAGGTTGCGGTTCATTATATCAAGATGAAATGATGATGTAAGGTTTGCCACAGGATCGGTGAAATTCAATAAAAAAACAGCATTTACAGCTACAGCATGAAGTGTTATAGTATACGGTAAGCAATAACTTAATGAAGATTATATAGACAGCGAAATTTTATGGGAAATATTTTGTATAGCTTATGATGGTGGCACTGCCGGTGGCGCACCGATGATTGCTGGAATGCTTGGTTGAACATTTGTCGGCGGTGCATTTGCAGATGTGGGCAGTGGAGCACCACATGACACGCCTGCTGGTGTCAATACTGTCTGACTGGTGATTGTAGCGCCGTCTCCACTCGTTGATGCTACAGCAACGGATGTGGATGGAGTTGTGTCTGGTTAAAAAATTGTTAAAATAAGCGTATTATTGCTGGTTATATTTGCTATTTATTCAAATGTACCCATTGGCGTTGGTGGTTGTTGCTGTATAGCAGCCGATGATGCGCCAGGTAAACCAAGTGAAGCAGTTGTAGCTTGTGCATTCCCTCCCATAGCTGTTGATGTGGCTGTACCTTGACTCGTCGCAGTTGCACCTTGTGGTCCAACACTGCTTACACTATTAGACGTAGGTATACCGGCGCTTGTTGTGCTAGCTCCAGTTGCTCCGGAATGACCGGGAGCAGAAGTAACATTACCGACACTGCCAAGGGATGCGCCAGAATTAGCGGTTGAAGGACCACCGCCTGGGGCATTTGCAGCCGTGCCAGGTCCCTGCCATTGCTGTTCTTGTTGTAGGCGATGATGGGCTTGTTGACGGGCTCGAAATTCTGCTGCCTTCAGCTGTTCTAAGTGAAATTGCTGCCGCTCTGTTATGAGTTGTTGGCGCTGATACTCCAATCCCTCCCGTTCACGCTCCATTGTTGTTTCCAGTTCCTCGAAATGGCGTAGTTTAATTTCCAATTTTTTCATTTGCGTTTCGACCAGTAACGCCACCAACGACTTAATTTTTCGTTCCTCAAGAGCTGCCAAGTGTTTTGCCTTAACCGCTGCGGAAGCCAGAGCTGCAGCTGCAGCGGTCTGAACATTTGTCTCGTTGAATACATGCTGTTTTGCTGATTCGGGATCCTTTGCATTATCTGCGTCATTTGTGTCTTCAGTTTTAATTGCAGCACCATCTACAGAAAACGATATAAGTTAATATTTAGTATGCCCTTTATACTCAGGCCGGGATAAAGGTATATATTTGTACTTTTGCAGTCATTATCTGGTTTCTTTTTAGATTCTGTTTCAATTATTTTCTTCTCTGTATTACTAGCATCGTCTGAGGAGTAGATATTCATATTTTTCATGCAGGGATATGGATAAACGTAAACGAACATATGAAACGAGAACGAAGGACGAGCGGGATGCAGGTATATGTGGCAAACGCATGGCCGAAAATAGAAAAAGCAAATTTTGAATTAACATGTTCTTTGAATGGCTTGTAAACGTTTTCGGGAGGAACAGACAATCTTAAGCATACACAAACAAACGCCAGAGAGCATATCGATATATCACATTTTTTCGAAATATCCCTATTTTCTTTATATACCGCACCTGTATTCATTGCAATTGATCCAGCTCCGGTTCCAACAATATGAGCGTCTTCGTCTTCCTTATCCACTCCTGTTCCGGCTATACCACTGTTGGCTAGTCCAAAAGTTGGATTGAATTTACCTCCAGCGGATGCTTTTTCCACGTTCTTCATATGATTATCCATAATTGTAGCGGGTACCTCGTCCTAAAATCAAAATTTTGAACGTATTTTGCTTTTTTACAATTACCATTTACATTATACCTTTATAGCAGCAAATTCTTCCATAGCTGCTTTGGCTGCAGCAGCCGCCACGCGAGGATCAACCACAGAAGCTAAGAAAGCAACTGTTGACATGATAGGGTTGCCAGATTTACTAAATGGTATTGGTTGACATCCTAACGGACCCAAAAATCCGCCATCATCCTCTAGATATGGATCTTCGATAGGAAGTCGAAGGAAATGCAGTATGCACTCATCTTGTGTTCGTGTCCCTACGTGCTCACAAACCTTATTCCAGTCATCTTTATGCATTTCGAGACCCTCCAACAGAAGCAAAGTTTCCTGATCAGTCCACTCGCGTGTCATGCTGGCTGCGGTACGATTTTTCATCGCCGCTGGTTTCTTAGCATATTGGTCCAACTTTAAACCAAATTGCTGACCTGCACTGGAACCATTCTCTATAGTCTCGCTTTTGATAGTTATACCTCCAGGTAAGAGACCGGGTTTGTCTCCTTCCACGGATCCTTCTTTTCCATCTTTAATTATTTTTGGCTTGTCCAAGTCAAGTAGAGCTTTTGCTGCAGATGGCTGCTGCGTCTTTTGCGGATTCAACGATTGCAAACCAGAGGGCGTGTCTGATAAAATATGGAAATGGGAAGTGGGCGGGGGCCCCATTGGAGTCGGACGCAGCTCAGCGTCAATCTGGTAGTTAATTAGACCCCATTGTTCTAAAAATGCGTGAACACGCATTATGGCGCAGACATCGCCTGCAAGGTTTCTGCGACAGGCAGTGCTGGTTAAGTACTCAGTTGGATTTAACCTAAGAAGGTGCCACACAATTTTAGTTTAGAACTATAATTGTACTTATGTTTGTTACCTGTAGGTGTCAATCATAAAGTTACGATATGCCATGTAAATTTCAGGTGTTTTAGATTTATTTTTGCCATTGAAAAATTCCGACATTGCACGCTTTTCGATTACATGAATAGAATTGTAGTCAAACCAGGCAGAGTAGGAGGGCACTATGATGTGATGTGTCTGCTCGGTAACGTTGTCTTCCATATCTTCTTTAGCGGAGGAAGAGAACTCCTGAGTATTACTGTTGTCACTAGTTTTGCCAGTTTGAGAATTTTCTCCATCTCCTGTGGAAAGCGCTTGTGCTGCACTACCACCTGTCATTTCATCATCCAAATCTGTCATTGTTCCGCCTGATATATTAGGTTAAGGTTTTATATTAATAATATTGTAATTATTTATATCGATGATTTTAGTTTTACTATACCTATTATTAGTAATATTATTACCTTTAATTGGCATCATGTCATTGTCGGCGCGAGATTTTCCGCCCGGGGCTGGACTAGCATTAGACTGAAGCGACGATGTTTTTACTACTTCCTGTACGTTGGGTTCTGCTGGAGGATCATCCATATCTCGTGTTAAGTCCTCATCGTCCTCATCATTGCGTGATTTCTTATGTAATACAGCTGGCGATCGTTTGCGCTTTCCTGGTTTCGAAGCGTTTGGCGAAGGGGAACGGCGGCGTTTTTGCTTAGTGGCCGTACCACTGGCACCAGGCACTCGCTTTTTCTCATCCGCTCCAAATGACATGATATCCTCCACTGACATGCGATGTTTGTGTGTCTTCTTTTTGCCCGTTTCATCTACTTCGTAGTCTTCTTCGACCATCCATTCGTTATACTGCTCCAAGTCTAAAACCCATGAAGCTGACACGAACCAACGTTCTGCTGGTATCTCTGGATTCTCGGGCACATATTCCGGCAAATCAAATGAGTTAATGGCCCAGGAATCATAAGATTCCGGAAAATAATACCAATGTAACATTACATGATTTCCACGTTTAAAAACAGGACGTGCATATTCATCCGGGTGTGGATCAACCACTGGGTAAATGATATGAGTAGCTTCTTCCTCATCGGTAACGATCTCCACACGTCTGGTGATTAGGATATCACGCAGCCTTTGGGCCAGTTCTTTGTTTACCTCCGGGCGTATGTAAATGTAATGAATGCGATAAAGATTTGCTTCAACAAGAGCTTGTTCAATATCAATCAGCAACTGAATATTGGGGTCTTTGCGAGGGGGATTTTTACCCACAGAAAAATCGAACTTTTTGCCTCTTTGCTCGGCACGGAATCGAAACATTGTGCTGAAGATGACACATAGGCCGCCACCAGGTTTAAAATCCATAAATAAACGCATCTGCCAGAAATATATATTTGAATAGTTTATAGAAAAAATTACAAATAATAATTATTTATATTATGAATGAACAAATATATATGTGTTAAAACCAAAGCTAACACAAATAGAGTAACTTAAAATCAAATAAAAGTTTAAAAATTTGCGCAGATTGCGTTCGGAAATGCATCATGAAAAAAATAACCCATCGTATGCACCCTGCCATTTCTATTGAAGGGTATACATAAAATATTTCCTGTGTTCTACCAACTTACCGGGATCCGAGTCGCCGGCGGCTCTTGGGCATTTTTGCCAAGTTTAGCTTCCACATATTGCAAAAACTGGATTACCAACTGCGCAAGCGATTCCTTTGTAATTGATTCTGTATTATTTGCTAAATACTAGATGAGAAACATGAAAAGTAATATAATCGCTTTCAATGGTCAGCGCAGCGCCATTTTTGTTCGTGGCCGCGTTGTACTTACCTTTTTACAATTCTTCCCTAGCCAAAGACGAATAGTTTCAAAGCCTTGAAGTGATTCTGGAGATTGGAAGAACTCCACATTAGGACTTCCGTCCTTTTTAGGCCCCAAAGTGTTCATTTTTAAATTAGAAATTACTTTTTAAATACAGATTTTCACAATTAAATATCTAATTTCACGACCCGATCACCAAACCACGCACAACGAAACAAAAAGCCTGCTGCAAAAACAAGCAAGAATAAAGGGAATAAATTACGAATGACACTGTGATATTAAGACAAAACAGAGTTGCATTTCTCTATTTGAAATGTTCCAGAATTTGTCCCTGTCGCTTAAAGAACGCATTCTATTAAATCAAAAGACACATTCAGTTATTATTTAAAATTCATATAATTTTTGTTAACTGAAAAGGCAACTGTTTTGGTAAATTAAGTATTTAATATTAAGTAAAATTTGAATCTTTCCGACAGTCACTGTAAAGTTTAAATCAACCCTGCTGTTTGACAACCAAGAATGAACAACGAAGGCAGAGCCTGGCGCAGCGCAGCTGTGCGCTGCAATAAATCGCCCATCCAATCAAGAAACGCTGACAGTATAAATTTGACCGCTCAGCGAGATGGCTTTCCCAGGAAAAATCGAAAAATCGGAAAAAACAAGTGAAAAAGTGCAAGTGTTCAGTGAAAAGCCAAATGTTAAATTAAAGCGTTGAGAAAATAGTGATTAATTACTATGTGTGCTAAAAGGTAATAATTGCCTGAGAGGAAATGTGCTATTGAGACGCAAAAGTGGTGTGGGAATCTACAAAACAAGTTTTTCAAATAGTGGGACGCCACGAATTAATGAAAAATCGAATGTGCTCTACCTTTTTGGGACGTAAGCTGAAGCAGCGACGTAGGCAGAACTGTAGTTGTCGGAAAGAACTGTGGTGCGGTGCAGGGTGGCTTTGGTGCGAATTTCGTTCTAGACTTGTGGAAGTCGATATAGCACTATTTTCACTATTATATTAAGCAAATGTTAATAATATCCTGTTTTATTAAACTCGTAGCTGCATTAGAACTGAAACAAAGGAATATAAAAGGAGCGCTTGAAAGGAAGAGGCGAATTTGGAACGCCCCTGTCTACGAAAGCAGCGCAGTACAAAATACCTATCGACTGCGCGAATAAAAGAATTAA